ATCTTGAGCTTTCTCACGATAGACGTGAAGGTAGTGAATTTCGCCAATCTGACATGAATCATTTCAACCATCCTGCTCATACTTCAGGCCAACCTCCCTCAGCGATTAGACGGATGTATACCTAAGTCACGGCGCGGTGCCGCACTGGCATGCCGCTTGTCGCTCTGCTCAGAAATGCATAGTCGTTAGTCAAGTAATGATATAGCTAAGTGCGAGAAAATCAGAAAATGAGGCTGCACAACATCAGATAAACCGGAGGGGAAACGAAACAAATGTCACTCGAATCAACTGCCGCACAAGTGTGTCGCGCGCGACACGCCGCACTACTGTCACCGCGCTTTGACCTAATGACGCGCTTGAAACAATGGTAGTTTTGAGCGAAGTGGTGCAAATTTTACTGCAGCTGTAGTCTTGGTTTGCCTCTTTCTCCCTGGTCGACTGGTAACAAATACTCCATTTATAACTACTCTGGTCGACTGGTAACAATTTCTACTCTATTTATGATCAGTTTTGCCCCATATATTGCCACGGCCGGCTCGAATTCTTACTATCCTACGCTGATAATTTTTTACCCTCTGAAAGCTCGTTAGGATTCCTAACGAGCAGTTTCCATAATGAATATTTTCGATGACTTTTTAGATGTTAAGCGTGCCTTGGAATCTTCCCTGTACGCTTTCATAGGGACTTTATGTTAAACCCTTTTGAAGAAGTTGTTCTGTAATGTTTCAATGCTTCTCCGATAGTTGACCTTCAATGCCTCATCGATAGTTGACCATAAGGGATTCTGGATTAATTTTTCCCTTCTTTCTTTATTTAGTGCTTCAAGAAGGTACAGGCGTGTAGCAGAGATTAGCGTTCAATCCGAGGGACAGCGCTAAATTGAGAATTGGCAAAGGAATCACATAAGGGTAACTATAGCGAATGAAATGAGCAGCTCAAGAAAGGAGCTTAGATTGCAATTGAAGTAGCTTCCATTTTGACGTCTTTAATCAAAAAAGTTGATTCGAGCGATTCAATTACTTTTCTATAGTCCGAATTGGAGGCATTGGAAACGTGGTTGGGAGGGTGGTGTAAGAGGGACGGGGGAGGATGGGCAGACCAGATGGGAGTGATCAAGTTAATACGAAGAAGTTCGTCTTCCTATCTCAGCGGCAGAGTTTGAGGCTCTGACGAAGGCGAATGAGCCGAAACGTAGGCCTAAAAAAGCTCAGTCTTGGAAGGTTTGAAGAATCATTCCT